TGTTAGCGTCGATATTGCTCAAATAAACAGTCTAACTCCGATAAATTTTGCATAACTCCACCAAAACTCCACTCAACTCCGAAATTGTCAACTCCAGCTCCTGCTGGAGTTGCCCATCTCTGTTCAAAACTTTTTAAATGACGCATTCTCACTCAGAATTAAATGTTCTTTCAAATAACATATGTCGTGACTTTTGCTACAAACTTTCATGTAAACTCAGGACAGTACCGAAAGAATTATCCATGTTTCCGACTGAAAAATAGGCATTTTTTTGCAAAACGCTAAGTAAAATCCCCACAAAATCTCTCTTCGAATGCTGGAAATATATCACATTAAAGTATTCTTTTGCCTAACTTCGTTCATGCACAAAAATATCTTTGCTTTTTGTAAACGAGCGACATCATCGTTGCTATTTTTCTATTGATTCATTAACTGATCAAACAGAAACAAAGAGATGATTCTTTTTTTTGAAAGCGTACTAGAGTGGACCAAGCCGAAAAAAAGAAAAAAGAAAAAGAACGTTTTTGTATTGGCGGAAACGTTTTATCTATATATTCAGTCCATTTTGGATGTTGAAATGAAATTTTATTCAAAAAACACACGCAGTACAACGCAAAAAAAAGATTCTGCGATAAAAGACAGAAAGCTATCGTTTTCTTGTTTATTTTTGCAGGGTAAAAATAGAGCGCAAGAAAAGGCATATAAGAACCATGCGTTTCTGGTGTTGCGTTAGTGCTGCCCAAAAAGTGCCAAAAAAACGCACATTTCTGCAGAAATCGTGAAAAAAATTTGACATGGGCAGATCATTGTCATTAAAACCCGGTTATAGAAGCAACATTCTTATTTTGTATTATTTATGCAAAAACAGGGCTCGCTTTATTTAGCGACATTTTGAACTGTCAATTTTTTTTGTTTGTCCAAACGTATGCCTCAAAAACGGTTCTCAGTTTTACAAACCTAACACAGGTTTCTGTGTAGGTTCTGGAACCGCTATTTGCACATGACTAAATTCGCCAGTAGCTAAGCTTGAAAAGTATATATCACTATTAAAAAGAAAAATTTTCTTTGCTGAGAAAATTCATTTTTTCTGAATAAGAGGAAATTCTGCCCGTAATTCTCAATTTTCTCCATCCGAACTCAACTTTTGAGCAATAAAAATAGCAGATTCGGAATCAGGATCAAAAATTGAGTCGACTGATATGTATTTCTATCCTATCTGACTACTGCGATTTTTTTCGAACTTTTACGTTGAAAAATTACCCTGATTTTCACTCAGAACTGAAAATCAACTAAAACTTGCGAAAAACATATCAGTCGACTCAGTTTTTATCCTGGTTCTGAATATGCTATTTTTATTGCTCAAAAGTTGAGTTCGGATGGAGAAAACTGAGAATTACGGGCAGAATTTCCTCTTATTCAGAAAAAATGAATTTTTTCAGCAAAGAAAATTTTTCTTTTTCATAGTGATATATACTTTTCAAGCTTAGCTACTGGCGAATTTAGTCATGTGCAAATAGCGGTTCCAGAACCTACACAGAAACCTGTGTTAGGTTTGTAAAACTGAGAACCGTTTTTGAGGCATACGTTTGGACAGTCTTGGTGACTAGACGTCCGGTTCTGAAACCGTTTGAAGACTGTTTTCTTGTTGAGTTTTGGATACTGAATCAGAAAAATATAAGTTCCGAAGCCTAAAGTTAGAGGAAGTCGGAAAATCGGTGTTTTCTGTAGCGAAGGTTTTTGAGGTTTTTCAGAGCCTTTCAGTATTTCGCGGTTCTCTCCACCAAGAAAGGGCTTTTAGAATCTGGGAAGGTGTTATTCGTGACCAACCTGAGACGGTGAATCCGAATAAGTACAATAAAGTACAATAAAAACATTTCACTTGAAGTTTGGATTCCGTGCACCTTATGACAGTCATAGCCGTCAGATATACACTTGTAAGCTCTTCCTCGAATGAGCAGGTTCAAGAAATAAAAAAATTTGAAATTATTATTCGCACTTATATGCAAACTAACCAGTGGTTCAAGAATTATCATCATACAGTAGTCAACAAATTTCAAGAAACTCATGGTCTTGACTCTTTGAAATTTCTTGAACTAAGGTCTTACTGGAAGAATTCAAGAAGGCAAGATCCAGGTTATAACAAGTTCGGCTGATGCTTTTCCATTTTTATTCGTGCTAATGTTAAAGACTGTAGATGCCAATCATTAAGTGGCCTGAGCGGAACGATGAGGCAACTAAAATGTCATGTACAGCTTTTCATTTACACATTTTATCACACGACGATACACTTCGAAAAAAGCTCGTTTAGTTGACACTCGATGAGCATTTGATAAATAGATGAAAATGCTCCACGAATCTCCAGAACGATTTTCTATAAACTGGAAAGTAATTCCAAATTACAGTGTAAAACATTGCGAATATTATGCACCCAGTTTTCATAATCTTCCTATAATATACTGTAAGATCGGTTGACCTACGATCGAAAATGGAGAAAAATAACGAGTCCTGTTCACACCAGTAGTTCTCGATGTTCTATGTGTGCGGTTCGATTATCAGAAAAAGTGTCACTTTGACGAGGTTCACAGTTGCGTAAAGTCGTAACATGTGCTTTTTTGGTAAATCGAAAAGACATACTAGTTTATACCCTATTTGAACGAGCGTGGGTAAAGCATCGTTTTTATACAAGATAGAATAAAAGATAGAATAAGGTATTATTGTCTCTTCATATCACGCAGTTCAAGATTTTCCTCATTTGTTGACCTGGGCCAACTAGTCCACAACATAATACAAGAATTGTGTCGCGTAGCGGCATTAGTACGCCTCGACTTGCTTTTTACAGTAAAGTATACAGAACTCGTGTACGTGCTCAGCTACGAAGAAAAACAGGCTAAATATCGCAGATAAAATCCTACGATAAAAAGTCTACGAGAAACCATCATTCATACGACGCTCTCAAAAGAAAGTTAAGGCCTTTGTTAGTTATTGCAGAATGTTTTACCCGGTTTTTTCTTCGGGAACATGATGCAAAAGAAGCGCATTGTTTAACTCATAATGAGTACGCGCGAGCAGGAATAAAACAATGCATCAGAACAACTAAACGAGAGTTCATTACAACGATTTGGCGCTAAATTCACATTAGTCGTTTGTGCTCAAATCTATTTCTTTCACACTTGGCCGGAATATTGTTATTAGGGCTTCTTTTCAATGATTATGCACGAAATTCCACTTTTTTGCATTATTTTCGAGAAAAAGAAGCGCTGTGCGTAGAATTTTAGGCATGTCCGCCATCTTGAATTGCTATTGGTTAGCGTACCAAACGAATAAAGTAATTGTACGTAGCTATAAGCGCTTTTATCGCAGTCGCTTTACGCGCCATCTTTTAAAAATACTAAATTAAAAGGCCTAACGACAGAAGTTTGCTGATAGCAGTTTTTAAATATTCTAAGAGTTACCTTTTCATTAGTTTTCTGTAAAACAGTGCGAATATTTTGCACCTAGTTTTCATATGTTATGCCACTGTTCTTGTTGTTCTGCTTCTTCTTCGTCACTGGTAATATTGAAACCATCGTCAGTATGTTTTAATAACTGTTGCTCTTTCTGTTCACTGCAATATTTCACGCCTAGTTTATATGAACGAGAAAAAAGAATTAATTCCCCATGAGGTTTTTTTAGCTTGATCGTTTTGGTAACCGGCTAATCGGACCGTCACAGCTCATGGCGATTCAAACAAAATCGTCATGTCATATAACAGTCTCGATTAGCGCAGCATTTTACTAAAATCGCGATTAAATGCTCACCCAACAAACAAAGGACTACCCGATCGTTGATCATTCATCGCGATTTCATCCTATAAAATCGCGATTAAGTTTGCGTCTCGATTGACCGCGATCAGTATTTTTATCAGTTTCTCGAAGCTGAAATTCAGATCGAGTTTGATTGGGACTGAGAAATAGATCAGATTTACTCGCATCTCCTGTTCGCTCGCGTTTCATCGTGTTCGAATTAGAAATCGGGATGCTATCCGTTGAATCCCGATTATTTTTGGATGGCGCTACATGCGGTTTCGTTTTAAATGCGATTACTCTAGATTTAGCGAACAGCTACAATTTATCTCAGTTAGGACAGGGTTGCCTATAATCGCGATCAATCGACAAAATCCATTTAATTGGCATTTATAATCGCGCCACGTTAGTCGGTATTAAATAAAAATTGCGATTAGTTGCGAATCGAAATTACACTTCGATTAATCGCGATTAGCGGAGTCACGTCTAATTGTGACTACAGTAGTTAACTTAATTAGATAATCAGAAATATTTTCCTTTCGATTCCTCTAATGAGATCGGGGTCTGCTTTCCCGGCGATCTGATTAGGTGGAATAAGTACTCCGCGCCCGAGATTCGAGTCTCAGGCGCGGAGTTCTTCTCCTAGGTGCCTTAGGGCTGCCCTTGGTCTACTGCTTGTAGACCGGCTACTTCGCTTCTCAGAGTCATTTAAGGCTCTAAGATAAGTGAATAAGTGAAGTTATAATTTAAATGAAGTTATTTGCTATATTAACTCACGCTAGAGAGAGAGAGTATATATAGCATATTCTTTGCAAAATTTATGTAGTAAAAATGAGTCATCGATTAGTCGATAACCAATCGATGATTAATCGATCAATCGATAATCAATCGGCTGAGTTTTTTAAACAACTATGAAAGGAATTTTTATACATATTAGTAGTTGTCGAGCTCCTCTATCTTCTACAACCTAGAAAGGCTGATTTGAAAGGCATCTTTATAGAGAAAAAAGGATCGCAAGTGGTGCATTTTGCTAGATCGGTTCGGAAAAGCGGAATTTATGGAAACAACTGAGATGTCGTATTCTTGAGATGTCCTGTACCCAACTGTGTTTTGTGACTGCTTCTAGTGCTTTATTAAAACAATTCTGAAAGGAATTTTGATGCATATTAGTAGTTGTCGCGCTGCTCTTTCTTCTACGACCTAGAAAGGTCGATTTGAATGCCATCTTTATATCGTGTAGACGATAAGCAAGAACAACTACTGATGTGCGTACCGGGTCCTGGTGGAACGGGAAAATCTCAAGTGATCAAAGCACTCACCAAGTATTTTGAAGTCACAAACCGACAACACTTCTTACGAAAGTTAGCGCCAACGTCAATAGCTGAATCTGAAATTGATGGTCTTACAATTCACTCGTTCTTAGGGCCGATTAGTTATGCAAAGAAAAAGAAGACAGTTCGTCCCGGAGATGCAAAGGTGACCAGGAACTGGCATCACGTCCAATACATATTCATCGACGAGATGTCAATGGTTGGTCTGCATCTTTTATCACAAATTCATAAACTTTTGTGTATTGCCAAGAGCAAGTCAAGTGAGCCGTTCGGTGGAATCAACGTAGCATTTTTGGCGATTTTATCCAATATCCGCCCGTGTTAGACAAGCCATTATATCGCGATGTGTTGGCAGAAGAAAACAATACGGGAACTACATCGAAACAAAAAACTGAACTTGATACTCAATATGAAGTCGGACGTGCACTGTGGTTACAATTAAACACGGTAGTTCAGTCGATCAGACAAATGAGAATCGATGATCCTGCATTCTTAGAGGCTCAAAATCGATTACGTTACGGCCAATGCACAATAGAAGACCATAAGTTACTTCCACACGCGTGATTGGCCATCAAAGCTGTCCGGTCAAATCACTGAACGATATCGAATGGAAAGAAGCACCTGTTCTCGTTTTCCGTAACGATTTAAGAACAGAATTGAATAATTTGGCGGTTATATCGACAGCTCGTGAAATCGGTGTAGTACCCGTTGTATGTATAGCACACGACACGTTCAATGCCGATTCAGTCGTTAACGAAAAATTACGGAAATTCATTTTGCGTTTGCCCGACAATAAAACGAAAGGACTATGTGGTTATCTATTTCTCGTCATAGGTAAATTTATTGGTAAACATTTCTGGACTACCATTGTTTTTTTTCTTTAACTGCTCAGATAATTGACGGATAATTTGGCCACAGAGTTACGTCTCTCAAATGGTACGTCCGGAATACTCCGAAAATTAGTCTACGAAGATGAACTTGACAACGAAACAAGCACAGCAGCCACAACAGATGATTTTCCACCAGATACAATGTTCGTTCGAAAACCACTGTATGCGTTGGTCGAAATTCAAAAATCAAATATATCTTCCAAATTAGACACGTTACCTCAAAAATTAGTCCCAATAGCGCTCGTTGAGGAAACATTCGAAGTCGAGTGTAAAGAACTTTTATCAGAAGACGAACGAAGGAAACGTATGAAAAAAACCAAACTAAAAGTAACTAGGAAACAATTTCCGTTTGTGCCAGCCTATTCCATCACAACATATAAAAGTCAAGGACAGACACTTCCAAAAATTATCGTGGATCTCGTTTTTCCACCAGGCAGTCGACCGCAAGTCGCAGCAGCCTACGTGCCAGTATCAAGAGTCAAGAAACTTGACAATCTAATATTTTTACGCCCGTTTCCAATATCGGCTCTACGGGTTCGTCCAAATCCAGATCTACTAAAAGAACTCGACCGACTTGATCAACTGGACAAAATAACCAAAAGGCGTTTTAAATCTCGAGTGTAAATAGTGATTTTGTGTGGATGTGAGTTTTGGTGATATTGCGTTATCACCGTGCCAGTACGGTATTTTTTGTGTTAGTTTTCTTTTCCGTCGTCGTTCCTAAGTTTTCTTTCGTACTGGATTAAGGAAAAAGTGCAGAAATCGGTTCTGAGAGTAAGCATATATATAATCAAGTAGGCATATTAGTTCTAAGTGGCTTTCCCCAGCAGTAAATACGTGGAGCGGTAGCAGTTCTCCGGTTGTGCTGATTTTGAGAGCATACACTCTGGAGTTCCCAAAGTTAGTTTTTTTATAGGTCTACATGCAGAATCAGAAAAAATTGTTTGAAATTCTGTGTGCTCTGTTCTCTTTTGCATTTCACATAGTTCTGCTTTGTTTTCTCGTTGTTGTATTTTTCAACGTTTTCAAATAAAAATTTCAAATAAAATAACTAAAAAAATCCAAGTTATAAGATTATCACAAAATATGCGGATTATACTAAAATTGCCTGAAGAAATTTAGTGTTCATCTACTAATTTTTAGTTATTTGCAGGGATATCAATATAATTAATTTTAAAATTAAGCAGTTATCTGTCCGCTTTGTTGATTGAAAAATAATGCAATAGTCTCTTGTTCGAATTTGAAGGCTCTGTTTGCTTCTTAAGTTCAGATTCTGCTTTTCCTAACAGCGAGTAATATGTGTTTTTTGTCGTGGTCCAACAGGAGATGTATGTTGCAGCAGATGTAGTGAAATCATACGTGACGAAAAATTATTGAATTATTAGATGCATTACAACTTTCCGCACATGAAATCGATTATCAGAATGATATGGCCTGTACTTGTGCCCAAATATTGGAACCAGATGCACTAATGACACCAAGAATCAACACACATCTATCAGAAGTTCAGCTTCCTTTAGCGTCAACTATTAGGCTACATCCACAGCTTGCATCGCCTCCAGAGTTATTGAGTTCAATCAGCTCTGCTGAAGAACGACGCCGAAAAGATCGAGAGCACAAAACAGAATCAATAAAAAACCAAATAAATAAACAGCATGAGAAAAACAACGGAACTACATAAGTAAATTCTGACCAAAACAGAATAACCCTAAAACACCATAGATTTCTGGAAAACGCGTTAATTAGAGAGAAAACCTCTAATTTTCATAACTGGCATTTCTCACCGTCAAGGAAGCATCTGCAAAATTGAACTCTGCTACTAAAAATGTCAGAAATTAAATTTCACACATTTTATGTGCTGATACCAACTTTGTGAAGTTTATTTTTATCGGGGGGTAAATTTCCAAAAAGTTCCCGATGGTAAAAGGTTGAAAAAGTCTATATGCGTTTGATATTCCCTTGACTGAAAGTCTAGGGTCATACGAACGAAATGACCGTTCGTCCATGCGCAGTAGATGAGTGGCATCTTCGCACACGCCCGTCCCGAACACTAGCTGTATCCAACACTCCTCTTAGGGCTTCCTTCTACTATTACGCACATCCGCAACTATTAACAGCGAATAAAATTCAAAAATACTTCAGGTTATCACAAAAAAAATCTGTGGACGCAGTTAATCGATCGATCATTTGGCACACTTCTCCGAATCTTACTCGCAACGGACCGATACATACAGATATCTTTTTAGTACTTTGAGACCCACACCACGATACCTGGAATACGACCTGCTACAAAGGCCTTTTGACTAACCGCTAGTCGAAAACGGACTTTCAGTCAAGGGTCAGTGAATCACAGATGAACGTTACTTGTTTATAGAGCGCTCGTGTCTACATATATTTATTTTATTCGTTTCGTACACTAACCAATAGAAATCCAAGATGGCTGCCATACCTAAAATTCTACGTAGAGCGCTTGCTTTACTCAAAATAATGGAAAAACGCGGAATTTCTTGCATATTTATTGAAAAGAAGTCCTAATTATAATTATTCCGCCAAATGCGACAGAAATAGACTTGAGCGCGAACCACAAACGCTCGTTTGGCGCCAGATCGCTCTAATTAATTATCTATCTTCTCGCAAGGTTGTTAATGAGATTTTTTTTACTGCATATATAACGTACGCGTCTACTCTGCTTTTCCATCCACAACCTGGTTTCGGCCAAAAAGTATTCAAAGTGTACAGATTCTAAATATTGCGCTAACATTTGAAGATAAGAATACATTTAGGATCTGTTTCGGATATAAAAGAGACTTAATCCCAGGTTCTATTGTTAGATTTTTGATCCACTACGATCAGTATAAAACTCACAGAATATTTCACTTAAACTTTACCTAAAGCTGACAATATAGCGGAGAATCGAAAATAATCCTTTTACGAAAACTAGGCAAACTTTATTAATGTTTTCTTTTTATACAAAATTTTAGGAAATTCTCATCAAAAGTACTGCTCTTACATTGCGAGAAAAATTCAACGTGTCTTGATATTTCTGTAACGAGCCCAGTTCTGGCTTTGAGAGTCACACTGGGTAATTATCAGAACGTTTACTTAAAAATTGAAAGTGCATTTTCTTCAAGGTTAAAGTAGGTTCGACGGACGCGTCTTCGATCTAATGAGTCTGCAAAATTTAGCAAAGCTTCGAACTGCTCAAACTTCACACAAATATCGCTCTAGGCAAAATTAAAGGATGGGCCAAAATTACTGAAACAAATTTCGGAAATGGTTTCATAATAAAATTCCGCTGTTTTTTGCAAAAGATTCACCATTTAATTCTCTACCAAATGGTATATAGGAATTTTGAAACCAAAACACCCACAAAATGGTTCTTTGAATATTGAAACCTACGTCCAAAGTTACAGAAAAAGTTCTCAGGTCGTTTCTTGTCACATTCAGATATTCTCTATCAGTTGGGACAAGATTCATTTCATCTCCATCCGTTCGATGTGGTAAAAATGTTCAGTTAATAATTGGCAGTCAAAAATGTACAAAATGGTAGTTTCGGAGTTTCGATTATTTTCAGAGAAATGACATCACATTCGTATGGGTATCGAATAGATAAAACATTTCTCTTCAAAAGGACGCATGAAGCATACATGATTCGTTCATTTTTGAGTTAGCACGGTTGATTTTACAAACAGCTCCAATGCACCTTGAAAAAATACTCACAGGACTTTTACATTGAAACACGGAAATAACGACAGAAAATTCGCATTATAGCCAGCCATTCGATAGAGAATTCCAAGGGCTATATTTTGGCCTATTCGAAGTGGGCACAACGTATACATTCAGGCTTATACTGACAAAATACAGTTTTTCGAGTTAAATTTGTAGAAGTTTTGGGACGTTTCGATTTCTCTTCAATTAAGACGAAATCTCAAGTCTTAGGATCATCCCTTATATACCACTTTGTATAGAATTAAATGGTGAACCTTTTGCAAAAAACAGCTGAGTTTTGTTATGAAATCCGTAATTATGTTTCAGTAATTCCGGCCCATCCAACAATGTGCCGAGTAGCATCATTGTTTGTAGACCTCGATATAGGTTTTCCTCAAACTCTGGTTTTAAGTATAAAATCTATGTTCCTCTGCTAAAAATGTGTTTTTTTAAATCAAAATCAATCACATATTTGGAATCTGCGTATCAAACAATGTACAATTTTTAAAAAAGCTGTTTATTCAAAAGATTCATGTAGCGTTACCTTCAGCCAATTTTGATCATAAAAGAATTTTCGTCATGGTCATTTCGTTTTCGTTTCAACATGTATACAGATATCTTCTCTCGAATAGCAAAAAAAAACTAATCTTCTCTCGCTACTCAAAAACTCACCCGAAAACAATAATGATAAGTTATTCTTTTTCTAAAGGTACTAAGTATCTAATATTTTCATCTGATTATGCTGCAAAAGCCTCGAATGATTGGAGTTCTTAGGAGACATGAAACTCCTCAAGGCTGCACACTCATGGCTGAAATCAGGGTATTTCACTCAGAAGTCACATAATTTTCTATTTTGTTCTAAAAAAATTGTCGCAGAATGCCCCGTAACCTGTGTTTACTTGGGTCGTTCAAAAAGTTCAGATAATTTAAAAAATTAATTTATAGAAAAGATATCTAATCGGGCTCTCTACAGCAAATAGTCGAGGTAGGCGCCGTGATATTCGATACGAAGTTCCATCCTTTTAATCCACTATTGAGATATCTTTTCGTATTCAACAACAGGTATTGAACTGAGCTCGTTGGTTATTGATGTGTTTACACTTGTTCATCTAGTCTTGAGACCTCGAGATTTTTAAAAGTGGTGGATGACCTCAATGTGATATTATTACTGACTATGAGACGTTCATTTACCTTAACCATATTGAACTTAAAACTACAATGAAAATCATGGTCAGCAGAAGAAAAAGTTCTCCTAGCCGTCATTAACAGATAACGATACCAAAACCAACAATGTTTGTCACCATTTTTAAGACTGCCGGACCATTACTTATCATAAAGTGCATTCTGCAGTTGTTATTAATGCTATCCACAATTGTGATGAATGTTTAAAAACACAAATTCAAAAGTTATCAAACAAAAGAGGATCATTATGATCAAATCGTATCAAGTTCCATCATGACAATGCGAACAACGTATGAAAAATTTTCTTATTAATTACCTTGAAGATGGAAAATTAAAGTTAGGGCTCACCCACGATACTCATCTAGCGTTGGGCTTTCAAACTGTTCGTTGCTCACCTAAGTTCAAGATAGATTAGATACATATTCAGTTAGAAACATTTTACTAGTTTAATAACTAAGGAGCTCATTTCAATACCTGTTGTTGAATACGAAAAGATATCTCAATAGTGGATTAAAAGGATGGAACTTCGTATCGAATATCACGGCGCCTACCTCGACTATTTGCTGTAGAGAGCCCGATTAGATATCTTTTCTATAAATTAATTTTTTATATTATCAGAACTTATTGAACGACCTAAGTACATTCGTATATTTGAAATTAGTCTGACGACATTTTTGTTAAAGTGCAACCTCTGGAAAGTCACATCCTTTTTTTACGTCCCATTTGTATATATACATATCCTTATATCATACATCTCATTTGATCTTCTATACTCCGTAAAACTAGTTACTGATTGCACAATTGAAGCGAAAAGAGAGAATCGAGTATTGTATTCTGCTCATCGTTCATTCAAATAAGAGGTCTCTATCTTCATCAATCAAACGTTAACAGGAGAAATTTGAATAGAGACTTTTCCGTTCTTTTTACCGTTCTTACGAAGTAATTTCTATAAAGATGTGTGAATAGGTCTTCTTAAGTTGACTTCTTGAAGACAAAATGCAAGTATTTTGTATTTATTTGCGGTACTTATGTGATTCAGGAATGGAAAACACATTAAAATTGTATATATGAATTTTAAAGTGTCTAAATGTAAATAAAACGCTCTATTTCATTGTTCATTTTTATAAAAGAAATAGCAAACAATTAAAAGTATTTACTGATTAAGAATCTATTAAGACAGCAGTACAAAAAAATAATCCATGCAATCCGTTCTGCTGTTCTTTGTCGTCTCGATCAAATTTATCTCTGTTTCATCATGCATATACTCAATAGGATTTCAGCAACGTGATACTTCACCAATAGGCATAATATAAATACTAATCTACGTCAAAGTGACTACGAAGTAGTCGAAGATCGCCTAAGTCAAACAGCTCAAATCTTTGCCGATTTCAGACAACATGATTCGAACGAATTTATGAATGCTTTGGTTAATGCTCTACATAATGAATTACAAATCAGTAAATCGTCAACAATTATTGAAGAACTATTTCATATACAAACACAATCACGTGTTACATGTTGTTCATGTAAAACAGCAGATACAACAACTGAAAGAACAGCATTTCTCCCATTACTACTACCATTACCTAAACTGCATCCACAACAAAATTGTTTACTACTTGAAGATTTATTATCATTCTTTTTCGAAGAAGACACTTTAGATGGTGATTATTATTGTCAAAAATGTGATACTATGACACAGGCTAAACAAAAAACAAGTCTTCGTCATCCTCTGCCACGTGTAATTATTATACAATTGAAGCGTTTTACATTTGATGATTCAAATAATAAAATTCATACACTTGTTAAATATCCACTGCAAAAATTAAATGTTAGAAAATATCTTGCTCAAACATCAAACAACCAACAAGAAACCGAGACAATTTACCATTTGATTGCTGTATCAAGGCATACTGGTAGTTCAGTCCGTAGTGGTCATTATACAACATATGCAAAACATTTTGTTACTGGAGCTTGGCATCATTTTAATGACAATTACATAGAATCAGTACGAGATAAAAAGACTGTATTTGTGACAAGGCCTATGTGTTAGTCTATTTAAAAAAGGAAGTATCAGAAAAAAAACATAGTTAACATTAGTTAAGTTAATATAGCGTTCTGTTTTCATATAGTCATGGTCTTAATACAAATTGTTTCATGGTTATTTAACAAAGATCATTCTATCGTTTTTGATTCTTCTAAAACATTCGAGATGGTCTCATTATTTGCAACAAAGAAATGAAAGATTCTTCCAACGGTCTTTCTCCGAATACTATGTTTTTTACGCAGATAACTGTTTAAAGTCTTTCACATACACGAACCTTGTGCTTCATTTTACTTGATTTTCAGATAGAAGTACAACAAAAAAATATATATTAAAATAGCTAGTGGAAACAAAATTATTTACCTTTCACTAGTGGCAATTTTAGTTTAATTTAATAGTAACAAAACAGTACGTATAAAATTGCTCTAGGATTTTTAAGGTTCTTTATTTTTATTTTGAAGAGTTCGTACTGTTCGATTGACTGAATGCGATTGATTCAAGTCAAATGTGGATTCAAAACATTAGTTGATAGAGGAAAAGAGTCTCATCTTTTGAATTCTTTAAGAGTAATACAGAGAAATTTTCGTTTTACAGTAATACCGACGGTGTTATGACAGTGTTTATTTTCGAATAGATTTCGACGGATGTTTCGAGAAGTGATTTCCCTTCGCACAGAGAAACCCTATGGCTGACAGTTAACGTAACGATCGGCATTATTAAATAGTTTAAAAACAAGATAGTAATGTTTAAAACTATGAAAAATGCACAAAAATAATCTTTGCAGCAGCTAACAGTAGCAGCTAAACTTTCTGACGATCACACTCCACTAGTAAAATTATATTTTTTTCAGGAGTATAGATGGAAATTGGATAATCAATACATTATAAAATTTCAAAATTTGTCGAATCGACTCGACGTTATCAAGTAGTAGTGATAATATTACATCTTTACCAAAAGATTTACAGAAGCTACGAACAAATCATGTGTTCCACTGTTGCACATAAAAGATTTTCAAAACCATCTTCTGTATATCCTTCCACTACATTAAAGTTAAGATTATGTAAAGCCCATCGGTCGATATTAGACTCTCCTATTCATCTAACCACTTATTTTGTGAGAACAATTGAAGAATTAAAGAATCAAATCATTTCACAAAAAAATCTTAGAAAAAAAGCAAATGATATCATTTTATGTATGCTCAATGAAAAATCTGTCTGGCAACGTCTGAATGATTCGGATAAAAATATAACTCTACATCAACTGGATTTACGAGATTATGATTTTATTGACGTTGATGTGATTGAAATATCAAAAGAAAGCTCATTATCAACAATTACCATATATCCAACAGATCCTATTTTATCATCTTCTATACTTCCTTCTGACGCTAACTGTACACAGAATATTGCATCAAATTTTACTACAGACAAAATAACACTCTTTTTATATAATAAACCTCGTATAACTGCACAGTACATAGCTATTTCAATGTTGAGAACATCAACCATCAATGACGTAAAAATAAAAGCAATGAATGTACTATCTATACATGAAACCTCTTCCGATCCAGTACAACTTCTATTATATATTGATGGTTCATGGAAAAAGTTCGATAAAGAAAAAGGAGATATTACATTACAACAATTACATATTGATAATTATACATCTATAAGCATAGAAAAGCAATCCGTCATCAGTTATACTCGAGGTTTGTGTGGTTTAACGAATACTGGTAATACTTGTTTTATGAACAGTGCACTACAGTGTTTGAGTAATATCCCCGATTTAACAAATTATTTTCTTGATTTTCATGAGAATAACAACAACAATAACCGGAACATATCCGTAACTCTAGCTTACAAAAACTTGATTCAATCAATGTGGTCTGGAAAACATTCATATTTTGTACCAAAAGAAATAAAATATTGTGTAAGTCAAATAGCTCGACTTTTTTCTGATAATAGACCACATGATTCTCATGAGTTTATTAACTGTATAATTAATGTATTATATAATGAATCAATCAACAATGAGAGTAGTAATAAATTGACGAAAATTAAAGAGATATTTTATGGACAATTATTATCAACAGTAAAATGTCTTCAATGTCCATCAACAGAAATAGTAACTGAATTAATTAATTTTCTTCCATTGCCATTAGCCAAATCAAATAAAGACAGCGCACAAGAACAAAATTTATTTAAAATCGATTATATACAGATAAATGGTAATCATGAATCAATCTTAGTTGAATTATCAAAGAAAAATAGTACACTCGAAACACTAATCGAAAAGTTTATTAATAATTATATAGAGAAAAGTATATTAGAATTATCCTCAACAAACACAACAGAAACATCATCCGAAGTATTGATACCTGAACGTGATCGAGTATTAATAGCAAAACTAAAAGAAAATCGCTTTATTTACCCTTACACAGATATTAATCTACTTTTACCTTACAACTATGAGAAGCATATTACTGTATTTGAATTGCCTATCAATAATCGAAGTGTAATAATACCTTGTTTTTTCAAAGAAACCGAAACGTATTATTATTTTCGTCCACCAGTCCAACTTTTAATATCAACTATGGATAATTTTGAAAAACATTTGAATAGAATATTACATCATATTTTTTCTGTTACTAATGAAAAACGTGTCGATAATATCTATTGGAAAAAGAAAGATTGTTATGATAAATATGAATTAAAATTTGATATAGAATTAGATTTACCAGCAATAGCTGAAATTACAATTGAATTATCAAGACCAATTGTATTAAAATATGAAACATATTCTGCTAAAAAAAATTTAATTAATATGAACGATGCACCATTAACGCTTGTCAATTTAATGAGCGATTTTTTTAAAGAAGATTTATTAGATGGTAGTTATTATTGTCAGAAATGTGATGCTATGACACAGGCTAAGCAAAAATCAGATATATGTTTGCCATTACCAATAGTATTAATTATACAATTAAAACGCTTTCAGATTAATAGTAGTTATTTTAATGATAAAATTAATACATTAATCGAATATCCAATAAATGATTTTGATTTAAGTAAATATATTAAAGATGATATGAAAATAATGAATAAAAAAATACCATTATATGATTTAATTACTGTATCAAATCATTCAGGCAGTACACCGTCATTTGGTCATTATACGACTTATGCTAAAAATTTTCTCGATGGACAATGGTATTCATTTAATGATTTATACATTAGAAAAATAACAAACAAGAAAGATCTTATAACAGACAATGCTTATGTCTTATTTTAGTTACAAAAGAAAGATGCAGAGATATGAATCAATCAAATAATCTTTTTTAATAAAGACAATCTTATTTACTAATATCCAGGGATGATAGTGATATTTGATTCCTGAAATATTGTGATACCTCATACAATAAACATTCATTAATAATTGTAATTCTGAGAATGTTTAGCGAACAAACAACGATAATTTCCTACACTCTTAGAAATTCCTCATGCAGTTTTATCTATGAGGTCAATTATTTGGCCGACTTAGCATGTTGATTATTCAAAGAATGCTTTAATATGTATTAAAAAAATGGCATTCTTAAAAACTGCGAGTTATTTTTTTCGTCTTTAAACGTTAGTAGGTATACAACAGTTGCGGTTAACTGTTACTGTAAAACTGTCACAGTTAAAACTGGTACTGAAACAAGAATTCAGGATATTATATCATGTTCTTTTATGGGTTGTACCGAGAATATCAGAGAAGGAAGTTTCATCATTTTAGCACCGATATGAGCTACCCTGCCAAGATTTTTTGAGTAGTTTATGAGAGAGTCCAGTTCGTAGTAACCTATTTGTTCACTCGTCTCCATTTCCGTTCAACTTGATCTAACTGATGCTTAAGAGACGTTTCACGAGGGCACCGAATATACCCGTCAATTGCGAAAAATAGATTTTGCTAAAAGCTACATCATTCGATTCAGCATGAAAAACTGGGCTGACGAAATTTTGTTTACACTTATGAGAAAAGCAAGTTTTTCCAGCACCTAGACCCAAAAAACCGAAAAATTGGCGAATTACAGCATTTTTTGTAAGGTGCACGCAAAGCAAGGTTCGAGCAAAAATTTTTTTTTCGATGTTTCAGACACCATTCGATAGAGAATTTTACGGCGATCAAGAATATGTGTTCCCTGAAAATTTTCGATGCTTCTTTCTATCGTAAAAATCAAAAAAACTTGA